AAACTTGAAAATCTTAAGGAAATGGAGGACTTTCTGACATCACACAACCTGCCTAGGTTGAAACAAGAAGAAATTGAGACCCTAAATAGACCAATAACTATCAAGGAAATTGGCAATAAGGAAACTACCTACAAAAAAAAAGCCCGGGTCCAGATGGCTTTCCAACAGAATTCTACAAGACATTTAAGGAGGAGCTGATACCAATCCTACTGAAGGTATTCCAGGCGATTGAGAAAGATGGAATTCTCCCCAAATCATTTTATGAAGCTAACATCACATTGATACCCAAGCCAGATAAAGACCCAACAAAGAAAGAGAACTACAGGCCAATATCTTTGATGAACATAGATGCTAAATTTCTCAACAAGATCCTAGCAAACCGAATCCAACAACACATCTCAAAAATCATCCATCATGACCAAGTAGGCTTCATCCTTGGGATGCAAGGCTGGTTCAACATTCATAAAACCATAAATGTAATTAAATACATCAACAGATGTCAAAACAAAAACCACATGATTATATCATTAGATGCAGATGAAGCTTTGGATAAAATCCAGCACCCCTTCTTGATAAAAACCTCGAACATCTAGGCATACAGGGAACATACCTCAAAATAGTAAAAGCTATCTACGAGAAACCCACAGCCAGCATACTCCTTAACGGACAAAAATTAGAACCATTTCCCCTGAAAACTGGAACCAGACAAGGATGCCCACTCTTACCCCTCCTGTTCAATGTAGTATTGGAAGTCCTGGCTAGAGCAATCAGACAAGAGAAGGTAATCAGGGGTATCCAAATAGGAAAAGAGGAAGTCAAGTTATCTCTCTTTGCAGATGACATGATCGTGTACCTTGAAAACCCAAGAGAATCTGTCAAAAACCTCCTTACATTGATAAAGGACTTTGGCAAAGTCTTAGGATATAAAATAAATGTGCAAAAGACAATTGCATTTCTTTACACCAATAATAAACAAACAGAAACCCAAATAAAAAGCACAATTCCATTCACAACAGCCACAAAAAAAATGAAATACCTTGGCATCTTCCTAACCAGAGATGTGAAAAACCTTTACAATGAAAACTACAAAACACTGCTTAAGAAATCAAAGATGACACAAACAAGTGGAAAAATATCCCATGCTCATGAATTGGAAGAATCAACATTGTGAAGATGTCCACCCTACCTAAGGCAATCTACAGATTTAATGCAATATCCATCAAATCACCAGCAACATTCTTCTCAGACCTAGAAAAAACAATACAGAAATTCATATAGAAACACAAACGACTAAGAATAGCCAGAACAATTCTCAACAAAAAAAAACAAAGCAGGCGGTATCACATTACCAGACTTCAAACTTTACTATAAAGCTATAATAATCAAAACAGCTTGGTATTGGTACAGGAACAGGCATACAGACCAATGGAATAGAATTGAGATTCTAGAAGCTAAACCTCAATTTCTCAACCAACTCATTTTTGACAAAGCCTCCACCACCTACCACTGGGGAGAGGAGAACCTATTCAGTAAATGGTGCTGGGAAAACTGACTGACTACTTGCAGAAGACTCAAACAAGACCCCTATCTGTCCCCATACACAAAAATTAACTCTAAATGGATCAGAGACCTAAATGTAAAACCTCAAATCATAAGAACCTTAGAAAATGCAGGACACACCCTTATGGAAATTGGAACTGGCATCCAATTCCTGAACAAAACCTGAAACCCACAGGCCATAAGAGATAAGATAGACAAGTGGGACCTCATTAAACTGACAAGCTTCTGCAAAGCCAAAGAAACCATCAAGAGAGCAGGGAGACAGCCTACAGACTGGGAAAAAGTATTTGCCAACTCCAGGTCCGACAAAGGCTTAACATCTTGGATCTACAAGGAACTCAAACGTGCTGAAAAGAAAAAAACAAACAACCCCATTATAAAGTGGGCAAAAGATATGAACAGACATTTCTCAAAGAAAGGCATCTGAGCAGCCAAAAGACACATGAAGCAATGTTCAACCTCACTAATCATCAAGGAGATGCAAATCAAAACCACACTGAGATACCACCTAACTCCAGTCAGAATGACAATTATCAATAACTCAAAAAATAACAGTTGCTGGAGAGGGTGTGGTGAAAAGGGAACATTCCTACATTGTTGATGGGAGTGCAACTGGTGCAACCTCTGTGGAAAACAGTGTAGCTTTTCCTAAAAGCTCTAAATATCAACCTCCCATATGACCCTGCAATCCCCCTACTGGGAATATACCCTGAAGAACTCAAATCACTCTACCAAAAAGATACCTGCACATGTATGTTTATCGCAGCACTGTTCACAATAGCAAGAACCTGGAATCAACCATACTGCCCATCAAAAGAGAACTGGATTTAAAAAATGTGGTACATATACACGATGGAATACTACGCAACCATAAAAAAGAACAAAATCATGAACTTTGCAGCAACCTGGATGGAACTAGAGTCAATAATACTGAGTGATCTCTCACAGAAACAAAGATCTGAGTATCATATGTTCTCACTCATACAGCGGACCTTGAACATCCACCATAATACGATAAAAAAAAAGACTGACAGTGGTGGGAAACTATGGGGGGGGAGGGGAAGGGAGGTGGGATTAACGGTAGTCAATAGCTGTCTGGGGACGGGGAGATACCCCTTATCAACAAGGTGCCTGAATGAAGCATATTTGTATACCTAACCCTAAACTGTACCCCACAATATCAAAATAAAAAATATTGATATTAAAAAAAGTCAAAATTAAAATATAATGTCCACTGCCCTTTAATAATCCCATTCAGCAATGGGAAGTGATTGGAAGGTTTTACTGTAAGACTAACTGCTAAAAAGCAACCAAGTATGCAGGAATTGAGTAGAAACATTTTTAAAAACACTACATGATAGCTTCATTTAAAACATTTTTTTTTTTTTAGTTGGAGTCTCACTCTGTCGCCCAGACTGGAGTGCAGTGGCCACTCCCGGCCACCGCAGCCTCAACCTGCTGGGCTCTGGCGATCCTTCCGCCTCAGCCTTTCTAGTAGCTGGAATTACAGGCATGCGCTACCATGCCCGGCTGATTTTTTGATTTATTGTAGAGATAAGGTCTCGCTGCCCAGGCGGGTCTTGAACCCGCGGGCTCAGGCAATCCACTCACCTCAGCCTCCCAAAGGCACGGGATTACAGGCTGAGCCACCGAGCCTGGCTAGAAGGGACATTTTTATATGAAATGACAAATCAGCATACTTGGCAAAATCACCTCTCTTCATTAGCGTTTACATGATGCTATTTTCAGTCTTCAGAACCATTGTTCAAGCACCCTTTTATTCCAGTTAATGTGGAAATAGTATATGAATATGTTTTGTTGGCTTGAATTTAATAAAGTTTTCCTAAGGCTTACAAATGAAAAATAAATAAATAAATAAAATGTCTGGAACATAGTAGGCAACCTAACAATTATGGATTATGTGAATAAATGACTGAATGAATGAAATCATTCTCTCTCTTCCTCAGCAGCGTATCCTCCAGCATGCAGCTGTGAGAGATTATTTATAGTCTTTGCAGAGTTTCTTCTAATAAAACTAAAACCACCTCTCTCCTTCATCTCAAATTTCCAGCCCAAGTAGGTTTTCCAAACCACAATGGAACTCACCAAAACCACTTTCCTCTCCTTTTTGGTGGTCCTTGATCTGAGAATGATCCTGAATCATTTTCTTCAGTCGATCTTTCTGTCTTTGCTCATGTCCACCTTGGACTTTCTCCATTTTCTCATCTTCTAGGAAGAAAAATCAAAACACTGGGTGGTAACATGAAGAAGATAATCTTTGTAGATAGAAAAGGTCAATGAAAGAAGAAAAAAGAATCACAGTCTCATAGTTTCCATCCTTGGGCTGAAAATTCTCAGTCTGTCCACTGTCTCATTCTCTAATTTCCTGGAGAAAGTACTTGAGCCAAGCTTCAAAATATATCTGATTATACTTACGAGCATCTTTCTTTCTTTTGCTTAAGGAAAGTCTACTGAATTTCTTCTTAGAGCGTGCAGGATCTGGCTGGCCTATCTTAGATGTTCTTAACTCAGGAACAACTTCATCTTCCCAGGAGGCTGAAATCTTTGGAATTTGAGGTACCATTACCCTCTCTCTGAAAAAGGAGATTTTTTTTTTTTAATGAAAAGGTAAAAAGGAGCAATTGCAGTACCTTTCGTTTGAAAGAACCCAAAGGTAAAAGGAAGACAGAAGAATTCTGGGCTCTCTAAGGCCTTCTGATGTCATTTTATTCATCTACTTGTCTATTTTTCCAAATTCAAAGAGGTATCATTCCTGAGTTGAAAGAAATCTATAAAGTATGATAAATTTCTAAAGATAGATAGATCACCATTTACCAATGTTAAGTTCGTTCTATGTTCAACTTGCCTCACTGAGATAAACTTACCCATTAGCATTATAAGAAGCAGACGAAATGATTCCTGGTTCCTTGTCTGATTGGGTACATATTATGGGCTGGGCAATGGAAGTCTCTGTAAAATCAAGGCCAAATCCCATCCCTCCCCCCCAGAATTACTATAAGCAGAGAAGCAATTGAAAAACTCCCCTCTATTGTTTTCTAACATGTTCATCTAAATGTATTCTCCTTGTTGCCTGAAGAGCCTGCCTTTGGCCTCCTATCATATCACAGATCTTTGCATCTTTAAATTTTCAGGAAAAACTAAAAATCTGTATCTTTCTGCAGGCCTTTCCAGATTGAGCTGGTGTGTTCCAGGACAGCCAGGTAATGATGATTTTATTTTGTGTACATCAAAAATTATATGTACTGTATTTTATATTATTTGTTCTTCAAACTCCTTCTAGGAATAGAACTACACCTAAAAATGGCTGAAATGTCAGACCATTCTCCTCAGCCTCATGATCTTATGGAAATGGCCTCAGGGCCTACTTTACAGAGTTCTTTATTCTAAAAATTAAATCTCTGAGTATATGCAAAATCAGTATTAGAAACAGAAATTTACAAAGCTAGATGGACTAAGTTCTTCATATCTGGAGAAAACAATTTATCTTTTCTAGGTAGATTGTAAACATATAGAAATGAATTTAAACTGCATTTTAAAATTGAGGTAAGATTATATTTATTTATTATTATTATTATTTTTTTTTTTTTTGAGTTGGAGTCTCACTCTGTCACCCAGACTG